TGTTAACATAATGATAATAACTACTGGGCTATACCGTGTGAAAATCATGGTAAAATAAGTGTGGACGCCGTGGAGAGTTCCGGAAATTTTGATCACCTGGAATTCTCCAACGTGCAACTAATTCTATGTGCACGGGCCTGAAACGCATTCGGGCCTCGGCGGCCCGAATGCAATTCCGTGACTCGTGTCAGCATTTTTGTTATTAAGCAGCACGACTGCCATTCTCTTGACCTACCTAATGCCATGGTAGGCATTACCACAGTAGGCAGTTGACCGATGGAAACACAATGTGCGGGTAGGCAAAAAATTAACATGCCAAGAATGACACTGCGTTTTTTACTAAGATAGGTAGTTTTATCTAAACGTAGACGAGGATGTCTAAGGCACCTTTTACTATTAGCGTTACCTATCCCTACTCATTAGACTCGTTGTATATTATAGAGTGTATATTATGCGTATTGCGTATGGTAGTGCAGGACCAAGCAATGAAACTAAAAGGAAATGTGTTTTCACATTGGTTTTGTTCTTTCATATATATACTGTTACAGTGCACAGGCTTTTGTAGGCATTACCACGCTGTACAGAAAGCTACATGCGCTCTAGCGCTTTGCTGTCACACTCACATTCTAATGACCTGAGAGAGAGTGTATAAATATACAGTGGGTCTACCACTGCATTCGCGATCGATCGTTATCCCCTTCTATAATTATTCGTCTTTTTCTCGTGTGGAGAATCTAATCGAAGTTTCGCCTAGTTATCCCCCTTAGTTTATTGTGTTACGTCTGCATGTTCGTAATGATTTTGTATGTTTCAAAATAATAGAAAAAACTAACCGACGAAAACGTAGTTTTTAGCCAAGGAGGCTTGTTGATAACATGGGTCTTTCGCAGCTCCAAGTTGTCAGAAATCTATTACAGTTTAGATCTCGATGTTTGGCCAGTTTTTTTTTCTCTCTGTTAACTGCGTTTCAAGAGCTTGCACTCTGCTATCCTTAGTGTTTTTGGTTTAAGCTCTCGTAATGTTCTCTATGTAATGATTTTCTGAAGCTATAGATATATGCCTTACAGCTTTGTTAGAACTGCAGAAGGTATAGCTTCAGGACAATTTATTTGATGCGCAGCTGATGGTAGGGTGATGCCTTTTTTTCTTTAAACAGAAATGAGCCTCATACAGGGCCCAGGGCAGTGTATACCGATTGGCTGAGCCAGAGGAAGCACGAACACAGTGAGTTGTTAGCTTTAAGCTGAAAATTTAATGTACAGTAGTACAAATCAAATGATGGTCGATAGAACGACAACGTGGTGAGTGCCGAACCCGGGCACCTTCAGCCATTGTGCGTATGGCACTTTGTCGTATTGAGTTATACTGGGAGTGACTTGTTTTCTCGTCCACTTTCTTAGGTGTCTACACACATGTGGAAAGTAGTATTCCTTGGAGTTTCAGCGAGCGTCATTGAAAACCATGCTGGCGTATGAGAATCACCCTTTCGACTGCAGGTGTTCATTGCCGGTAACCTATAAGGAAGCCACCCTGCAATAAACGCTAATGTACGCTGTAGCTCAGTGCTGTAAGGCTGATAAGCTTGATGCAGTCGTTAGGAAATACGCGAAAACAATGTGGACAGTTGTTCGATTTAATGTAGTAACAGTGACACGAACCAAAAGTTAATAAACTGCGAAAAAAAACAAATATAATTGAAATGTTAACTAATGGAAACGTATGTACATTAGAGAATTGGGTAGCTTCGATCCTATCTAATATGTAATATAAGGAGGGTATGTCTTCACGAGAGCTATATACTGGCGTGCCATTGTAGGACCCCGCTTAGCAACCGCAGAATAGAGCCTACTGTCTTTTTTGAAAGCATACTTTGGCACTTAAAGTTCGTCAAACGATTAAAGCACTGTCATTTTAGTTCGCACTAAGTGAAAAAGTTTCATCGTGGAAAATTTCTACATCCGGATGTGTTTTGGGAGCCGATGTTTGTATCTCGCGTAAATGATAAGGGTGGAGGAAAGAGAGCTATGAAAATGAGTGCGAATGAGTATGTGTCCATATAATAGGCAAGCTATGCCCTTATCGTTGAAATGAATTTGCGTTGTTGCAGAAAAAATGCAGTATGAAAAAAAAACAACGAAGAATAAATGGAATTGGAATGAGAGGAATGGTGGGCGAGATCATGCTATAAACAAATCATTTTCAGAATCACGTTATTCTGGCAGCAATACGTCCCACTGAGGCTTGTCGGCAGGTTAACGACTTCCCGTTTATGCCGAAGATATAAAAGTGTTGCAGGATCCCGCGTCACTCTACAAGTGCGCGCTGTGAGGAAGTCGTAAAAGAACTTCGTGACTTCTTTGTACGCAAGAAAACGTGATCTTTTTCCTTTTCTTTTTTTTTTCAAATTTGAGGTCAAAACATCTTTTAGAGGGGCTGTCAATAGACACACAAGATAAGGGTCGTCCAAACGGCGTGGGCACGATTTGTGAACTAACTTGCTTATTTGTGTCACTCGCCATATAGGCTTCCAAAACATCTCGATTAGGGCTGGCTCAAAAGCCGAAGAAAAATTACAACATCGTCACCCTCCCTCCGCAAGCTTCGCATAGCGTCAATTCTGAAGGTGCGTGGAATCTGCCGAATTTTTTTTTACTAGCTCTCGCACACTTAAACATCCGTATATTCGCTAACCTTGTCAATTCGATCATTTGTTATATTTACATTGTATTAAAGACATTTTGAACAAAAAGCAAGCTACCCGCATCTTCCGATGGGGGGAACTCCAGTCAATGCGTCGCAGAATGGTTGGGGTATCGCGAGAATGTTGTGTTATTGGGTACTGTTTGGAAATGCTTAGTTGTTATTTCATCTTTCATATTTTTGTTTATTAAATGAAGGAGAAGGGTTGCCTGCAACAAATGGTATGATGCTGATGTTGGGTTGCGCCCCACTACTGGTCGAAGGCACTTTCACCTGTTGCTTCCATCGCATCTACTCGTGTCAAGCAAAGTGTCTAGTCAAGCGAAAGCGAAGACACCCTTGACTGAATTCCGAACGCGCGCTCCACCACTTATATACCCACCACCCGCGTTCGCGGGATAAGAGTACGGGGGGAGAGGTCTGCACCCCCGCTGCGCATGCTCGGCTGGCTGTAGGCCTGTGGTGTCTTATACTTTAATGGCTCCTGAAGCGACAGTCTTGCGGGTGTCGTCCTGGACCGGCACGAGACGCGGGGGGGGGGGGGGGGTACGGTGTTGCCCATTGAGCTTCCTACAACCATATGGCGCCGCCGACGTCGAACCATGACATAGTCCGACCAAGAATCGTTCTGCATTTAAAAACGAAAAATAAGTAAACAAGTTTTCTTTAAAAGGAGACGTATACTTTTTTGTTAATTTCATGATAATCATTTAGTGCGAGAAAAAGAACAACGAAGTGGTAATTATTAAGTCCTAAGTTACCTGATAATATAATCGTCATTTGACAGTATCATACTATGACGTCAACGATACATGATGAGCACATCTGATGACATCGTGTGATGCGTACTGCAGAAGCAACACTTTGCAAGCTTCCGGCTTCCTGGCAGTGCACGACTGCGGGACCGTCCATTTTTTTTTTGTGTGAGTACGCCGCTAAAAATATTGACCAAATAAAGGCTAGCAGCCTCAGCGTATTGCGTCTAAGATATCGTCAACCAGGGACGTAGGCAGACACTTTTTTTGGGGGAAAGGGTGGCTCTATGATATCGAGGAGGAGAGCTGGGAGCTCCTCCTTGAAATGGTCAGTTTTTTCTCTGTATGCCATGGGAAAAAAATGGGGGGGGGGGCGGTGTGTCACCCCCTAGCTTCACCACTGTCACTAACATCTTTGGTGTCACGGTGGAGAATGGAGAAAGCTTTAGATGATGCTGCCCCGGCCATGTTACTAATTTTCGCGTACCCTCCGTAAATTAAAAGAAAAACAACATAAAATATTTAGAACTTACTTTCATACATGCATAATGCCCAACTGTGTTGCCTGTGAACACCGGCGCGACAACTTGCCCACCTGTTGAGCATGTGTGCATAGGCAACACAGGTGGCCATTACGGAAGTGCGCTCGCCTTCTTTTCCTTTGTGTTGGTTCGTGGCGCTACTTACGATATTACTAATTCCCGCACGTCGTCTTTATGATAATTGAATTGAGTTAGACGAAATTTTCGCCCCTTGTTAGCTAAGTATACCCTGAATCCCGCAGAAGGTGATGGTGCTCCCCAATGTATTGTATACTCTAAAATAAAGTAATTTGTATGCGAATAAAATAAACTCAGCAGCCACTCCTAGTACCAAATTTCTAATGTAAAATTTAATAACTAGAAACTCATCTAAATAACATTAAGAACTATCGAATAAAACTGGCGGTAAAGTCTACTTCGCCAGTCTACTTCGAAAGTCTACTTCGCCAGATCAGTATGGCTGGGTAAATATTCGTATGAATATTTACCCAGCCATATATTGATCTCTGTTGAATATGTTCACGTTTAAACTAATTTATCATATAAGTTTAACCTAATGTCTTCTAGCTTGATCAGGAAGTTATTAGCGTAATAAAGCCACGTACGCCTCCAATATTTTCATTACACAGATTTAGTTTAACATCCGCAACGGCTATGCAGACGTAATGGCTGACAGGCGGCGTCCACAGAGCTGCTGTGGACGCCCGTACTAAGTCTGTCTAATAATACTACTTCTATTTTGTCTTCTTACAAATGACACGCCGTGTAGAATATTGACGTGTGCGCATGCGTGTGCCCAACCGCACAAGACATTCGATATCCTTTGCGCCACGATTCACGTTTCTTGAGTGACACCGAGTTTTGAGGCCGCCGAAGCTAGAGGCTGACGTTCCCGCTTTGGCTCAAAATCGTGCACCTTTACGGACGTTAAACGCGGTTCTTCAATCGTGGCGCGCAGATCGTGTACACCACGTTCGCGTTTGGAAGAAGCCGTGGGCTGAGGCGTGGCGTAGTTTCCGGATTAATTTCCTGTTTGCGTCGAAACACGCGAGTCAGCGTCATTGGCATTCAATGGCGAGCCCGAGGTAGTTAGTAGTGACTCGCGCAGCCGTCGACCAGCGAACGTCCAGTTCAGAGTTGAGAGTTCCTCGGTAAGCAAGCGCCGTTCCGATCAGAGATGGAAGTTGGTCAAATTTCGACGCCCCTGGTTGTCCTGCTCGTAGTGCTGAGATGTTCGGCCGCACCCGAGGGGGCCAGACTGGACGAAGAGTGCGGCAACACGTCGTGTATTCCCGAAGAGTGCGAGTTGATGGGCTCAGTTTGCGTCGAGAACAGCTGCGGACAATTGGAATGCGTCAGCCGTAAGTTGGCAAAGCTTTGTGATGTAAAATAATTTTATCCACTTGCCATTGCTGCTTGTTTAACGGGCAGTGTTTCTTCGTGGGTATCTGTGTACAAAGGCTTTCTTGTACAGTGACTCAGATGTTACACCTTTGAAGAGTGTTTCAGTATGCGAAAGTGACACAGCTCAATGCGGACGAATATGCTGTAACCATATTGTTTTTTATAACGTGTCTGGTAAAAAGCTTTCGTCTACCTGAAATTGTTTTATTTGATTTAGAATTTATAGGCATCCACTGAGCAGTGAGAAATGGCTTGTGTGGATAACTCTGAGATTTAGGCTTTGGTTGAAACAAAAGCTCACGATTGCTTTGGCATTACACTCTCATCATCATTCTGGAAATTGAACGCGTGCCTATGGTGGCCAGCAAAGAAGTACTTTAACGAATGAATCCGCTCTGCGGTGAAACACTAAATAGCCCGCGTTTCGAAGTCGTAATATTCAGGCCATGTGTTCTGAATGTCATTTATTTGAGTGGCGTAGAATGTTGGCAATCATGTCTCCAATATCTCATCAGAAGACGGATAGAGGAATTTACCTCGAAACTGCATAAGACGCGGGGAGGGGGAGTGGTTTTTAAATGAGGGAAAGAAGATAAAAGTGATGCCCGGAACTGTCTGCATCTGAGTGCGACACCTCAACAGTGGCTCACGAGGGAAGGAGATAAGAAGGAATTAAAAGGGATAGAGTGAGAAGTAAAGATGAGATAGATAAAGATGGGGACACGCTCGAAGGAGTCTGAGGACGGGGTACCACTCAGCGAGAGCTGCACGGCGTCGGGAGATGGTGTAGGGCGAGCCGGTCGGCCAGAGCTGCGCTGTCGTCGAAGATCGCGGGGCCACAACCGTTCGGCACGAAATCCAGCGAGCGAGTTCCTGAATAAGTGTGTCACTGCACACTTCACAACTACGCCATATATTCGATAAAACCCTTGTGAATAAAAGAGTTCAATCATGCTATCGAGCATGCGTTTGTGTCAGCATATTAATTCATCATCACACCGCATACCTCTTCCAATTATCGCGTTATCATCTGCCGTTCCACGATGAGGTCGATAACAGATGCGCTTCTGTGGCTGACCGCAACGTTTTTTGGCTCTGTAGAAGATACTTGGTCAATGCCACACACCTGCTTTTAGGGGGATTGACAAAGAATAAGATAATTCGTAATTGTACGACATAATAAACGAACGAAAGGAACTAAATAAAGAGAGATAACGAGCGAAAGTGGATAACAAGCAGTATGCAGTATAATCAAAATGAATCGTAAAGAGCTATTTCCCCGAAACGAATAAATTAGGACATCAGAAGAAGCAGGAAATCAAGTATAATTCGACGGAGATTAAACTAAACTCCTTAATTGTATCTTAGAAGTCAAAGAGCATTGACATTACAATAAAAGCCTGGAAGGCAACGTATGAATCCCGGCCGCTGTATACATGCCATGCGCCGGGAAGACGGGTATTGATTAGTACTGGAAGTCAGACGCGACTTAATTTTCTGAGAAAACAAAAAAAAAAGAATAAATATGCCTCTAGACATTTTCATTCACAATACTTTGTGTGACTTCACCTTGCATAGAGACCACGGCCCACCACTCGGGGTTGTGCCCGTACCTGGGATCGGCACCTGATGAAGAGTGCGCGGACAACGAATCGCAAACGACGTGCGACGTCCTCGGCTGCCAGAAGGAAGGAAAAGTTTGCTGTCCGGACAAGTGCGGATACATGCGCTGCGTATGAGGGGGCTTCCGTTCGAAGCATTCGAAGCATCTGCAGCGTGTAACTGGATCCGAGTGCACACGTTCTTAATAACAAACGTAATAAAAAAGCACACGTACAAAAACATACACGATGTGGTGGTCGTTAACGGAGAAAAGAACCACAAACATCGGTACTCCGGTCTTCAAGCACTAAAAAAACAAATAAAATAAAATAAATGTTTGAGTACATGTTCAAAATAATATACACAATCGAAGAAAAGCGAGGGGGGGGGGGGGCATCGAACTTCTAGAATCACTCTCCTGGTTACGGCACTGCATCAAACTACACACGATGGTCAATTATTTTAAAGGTCGTCTTGACAATTCATATATACATGTTCTCAGTAACGCGCAATACTTTTTTTCTGTTTTTACAAAATGCATGTTATACTACTATGCATTGTGTTCAGTGGTCATACTTCGCTTAGCCGTGTACACCAGGCCTAGGGCGAGATATAGCAGGGCCGTTATTCACAATTTTGAATCCTTGATGTTCAAAAAAAAAAAAACGTCTTCAAGAAAAACAAGGGCGATTAACAGACGAATGAGTACAGAACCCACGAAGGCAATGCCAAGCTCGTGTGCACTGTGACCACTCGTGTGGTCACTGTGTTAAGTACCACTGATTTTATTGAAATTGAATTCAGACCAACTAGCCTGCATTCAAACGCTTTCAAAAAAGATATGGTGATCAAATGGAATAGTGATTGTATTTTTAGGGGCGAAGCACTTCATGGTATCGGCTTGCGGCGTCGCCTGTCTTCATGGTGTCTATATAGGCAGTCTTGGTTCATCACAAGGTTAACTTCATGTGATGACGTCATATCAAATGGTGTCAGGACGACAAAAGGTCGACAAAACGTGTGACGCAGTCATGACGTGTTGTGAGATGGTGAAGCACTAGATGGTGTCGGATTGTCGGCGTATGATGTCTTCACGTTGTGTATGCCATCTCGGTTCATCACAAAGTTAACTTCGCTTAATGAAGTCCTCCCATCTTGGTGCCAAGACGACACAAGGTCGACAAATCTTGTGACGCATCATGGCGTAATTACTTATTTATTTATTTTTATTTATTTATTTACAACATACTGCAGGCCCACATGGGCCCAGGCAGGAGGCGTAAATTGCAAAACAAAAACACAGCATTTCAAAAGGCGAAAAACAAACAAAATAAACGCTTCCACTTCAATTTCAATGTTAGATTATGAGAAATCTATCAGGTCAATTGACTCAACTGAATCAATCAATGATAATGGCAATGAGTTCCATTCGTTAATAGTGCGAGGAAAAAAAGAAAATGTGAAGGTGTTAGTTGTTGTACGATATGGAGTTAAAGATTGAGGATGATGATGTCTGGTTAGTCTAGTTGATAACGGCCGTAGATATGGTCCAGGATGAAAAGAGAGTTTGTTATTCTTCAGAAGAAAAATAAATTTGAGCCTCAGTATTTTACGTCTTAATTTCAATGTTGGTATTCCATGAGTTTGCATGAGCGCTGTTGGCGAATCGGTGGAACGGAATTTAGAAAAAATAAATCTAACAGCTTTGCGCTGAACCATTTCAAGTGCGTTAGTATTGTGGTTGGTGTGAGGATCCCAGACGGTGCAAGCGTATTCTAACTTAGGCCTAATTAGCGATGTATAAGCATGAAGCTTGGTTTCGGGGGGCGCCTGTTTAAGTTTGTGTCGCAGAATACAAAGCTTGCGAAAAGAAGAAGCACAAATGTTAGCGATATGAGAATTCCAACTGAGGTTGTCAGTAATGGTCACCCCCAAATATTTGTATTCATTTACCTGAACTAGGGGATTAGACGGAAGACTGTAAGAAAACTGTCGTTTATGTAGTTTCTTTGTTATATGCATGTATACTGTTTTTATTTCGTTAAGCTTCATGTCCCATTGTTTACACCATGAATGAACGTTAAGGAGGTTAGTATTCAAAAGTTCCTGATCTTCTCGACAAACAACCCCGTGATACAATATGCAGTCATCTGCAAATAAGCGAATTTGAACTGGTTCTGTTATAACAATAACGATATCATTAATAAAAATCAAGAACAGGAGTGGTCCCAGTACACTACCTTGTGGTACCCCCGATGTAACTGGCAAACTACGCGAGTGGTGACCATCAATAGAAACGGATTGGGTGCGATTTCTTAAGTAGGCGGAAATCCAATTAATGATGAAAGAGGGGAGGCCAATGTATTTTAGTTTGCAAAGTAACTTTTCATGTGAAACAAGGTTGAATGCTTTCTGAAAATAAAAAAAATTACGTCAGTTTGACCAGGTTTGTCAAGGACACTTGCAAAACTGTGAATTACAGTGGTTAGTTGTGTGACCGTAGAAAAACCCTTCCTGAATCCATGCTGAGATGAAGAAAGAATGTTGTTGTCTGTTAAAAATTTATTAATGTAATTTGCAACAATATGTTCAAGAATCTTACAGCAGGAAGAAGTGAGCGATATCGGACGATAGTTTGTAATCAGTGCAGTGCCCCCTTTCTTGTGTACGGGCACCACACGCGCCGTTCGCCAGTCAATCGGTAGATCTGACGATGACAAAGGTGCACGGAAAATGTATGCGAGGAACGGGGCGAGTGCTTCTGAATATCGACGAAGGAATGCATTTGGAAGGCCATCAGGACCAGATGATGTTTTTGTCTTCAGGTTAAGTAGCATAGCTACAATACCTGGTAGCGATACAATATCTTCGTAGTCTGAGCAACATACAGGGTCAAGAATAACTTTTTCTGAAGAAACGGAAAAAACACTGTGAAAATACATATTGAAATGTTCTGCAATGGCATCCTTGTCATCAATTAAAACACCATCGATTTGAATCTCGTTAACAGATCTTTTTTTATTTAAGAAATCCCAGAACTTCTTAGGGGTTTCCTTTAGAAAATTTGGTAAGATACAATGAAAATAATGCCATTTAGAACGTCTCAATGTTTCACTAAGCGCAATTCGAGCAGTATCAACTACGTTTGTAGGTGCTCTTCTTTTTTTAAGGCGCTTAAGCTTTTTTTTTTAAGTGCAAGACGTCTCTCGTTATGCAGGGATTCGACTTTTTTGTTTTCTTAGCTTTGTTAGGTATAAAATTATCGAGACAATAAGTGCAGATCTGTTTAAATTGAACCCACAGTTTCTCAACATCCGAACCTTGAAAATTGTTAAATACTATCTCAAGATGATCCAAAACGCTCTCATCCATGGCACGAGAAAAGTATTTAACAAAAGCAATTTCGGGGGGCGCATTACAGGGTTTATCAATGTTATACGATAACAACACCATAGAATGATCGGAAATACCGGGATTCACAGACACTGAAAATTCTTCAACAGACCTAGAAACAAAAATAAGATCCAGGATTGAAGAGGATGCATCACAAACTCGCGTAGGCTCTGTTACCACTTGTTGCACATCCAAGTTTACCATAATATCAAGCAAAGGTCCAACATCCGTACATCGACTAGTATTTGAAAATGGATAGCGCCAGTCAACAGAAGGTAAGTTAAAGTCACCTGCAATAATTACTTCATTACTTGAAAAAGACCGTAGGTGGTCGCATAGATCATGCAGAAATTGGGACGTTGCATCTGGAGGTCGATAAACTGCAGACAAGAAAGTACGCCCTGAGCAGAACACTTTTAAGGTAACGCTTTTGTGGTTATCTATCTAACGTACTAGTGACGCTTGAATTCCACATTTTATCAAAACAGCCACACCCCCGCCTCTAGTAGGACGGTCTCGGCGAAACACTTGATATGAGGGTGGAAAAACATCAGTATCGTCTATGTCATCCCGAAGCCAGGCCTCCGTGATAACAACAATATGGGGATTATAACATAACAAAATAGCTTCTAGTTCTACAGATTTGTTGACGATGCTACGTGCATTTATGTTAATAAGTTTTACTCGATTTGCAGTATTCCGCACTGGTCAATCATTTTTAGAATTACGATGAAAGGACGGTATCTTTACTCTAGTCTGAAGATTTTCGTCCCAAATGAAGAGCTCCCCATTTACACGCAGTTTATCATTAATAAGAGTAACATTCTTTCCCTGATCTCTGTCATCCTTAGCACTTGCCCATAATAGCTTTCTTTTTTGTAGTGTCTCTCGAGAGTAATCATTCTGAATGGATATTTTCGTCCCCTTAAGCTTGCGCGCGTTTTTCAACAATGTTTGCTTCTTGTTATAGTCTTGAAAATAAACTATAATGGGTCTAGGATTACGACAAGGCGAAGCACTTGATAGTCTCGACGTGTCGGCGTATCCTGTGTTCACGTTGTGCATGCCATCTCGGTTAATCACAAAGTTAACTTCACGTGATGATGTCATCCAATCATGTTGCAGTGATGACACAGGGTCGGCAAAACTTGTGACGCAGTCATGACGTGATTATGTAAAACCCCCTCATGTAAAACCCCACTCATTGGGGTCTTTGAGGTACCTGTAAATAAATAAATAAATAAATAACATGGCGAAGCACTTGGCGGTCTCGCCTTATCGGCGTTTAATGTTGTCACGGTGTGTCATATAGTCACGGTCCATCATAAAAATTGGTATGCGCTACGAAAATTGGGTAGACTCTACCCAATTCTCGTAAAGTTTCACTAGCCGCCCGCTATTCAGCAAAAAATAAGAAGGCTACAGTTGGCCCAATGAACAGCCGCTGATGTTAGTGGAGCCGAAACATCCTTCCCTATACTTGTCGTAGAAAACTGAAACCAGGCATGTAGAGAACAACAAGAAGAAAAAGACAAAATCGGCAAATCCCACGTACCATGGGAATCGATATTACGCGAACCATACGGAGGGAAGGTGACTGGGTGCAATTTTTTATATTGGAAGAAACGTTACGAAATAACGCTATACAGATATGTACAAATATGTTGATTAATCGCATAGTTTTTTATAAACGAGTTGATTGCAGTCACGTAACGATGCCAACAGCAACGTGAGAGTTACCGACATCAGAAGCGGTAAGTTTACGTGTAGCACTTGTGCTTGCGAGGATGGCAGCCCTGGATAGTTCTACGTACACCAGCTTCAGTGGCGCTTAACT